CCACAGACCACCGGTTGGACACAACGAGTTCATCGCGTGATGGAGGATATACTCCAAAACACATGTAACAAACAACGGTGGCTCTGCGGTATTCTTCTCTACGTTAGGTTTGCTTAAAACAATGCAGTTTCCGCTTCACCATGCGTCATGCCACTTTTTAATGTTTCCATTATACCTTTGCGTCCCCAAGGTCTCAGTAAGGAACGTTTGCTAAAACTCATTAGCCTTCTATTCCGGTAGACTTAGTGTCCAAAAGTATATTTTTATATCTTATAGATTGGGCATAATGCTGACGCTTCAGAAATGGGACACAAGTAAGATTCTGATTTCGTCGATGACTCTCGCGACATAGCTAAATCCCCCAGATTATATAAAGCATCCTAATTTCGCTCAGCCTCACCTCCGCATTTGTTGTGTCCTCCGTACCCGTGTACAACGACAGAGGATGAAAAGAGTCCCGATCGCGGAGCATTCGACGAATTTCAGCTCGTTCTCAATGAGATGGACCTGTCTTTCCCGTCTGCGAGCGTAGACGTAGAAGCGACTATTGCTTGAGTCGCTTCAAAGTTGATTGTGAAATCGATCTATCGAAACAAGCCCGCTAAATTGCGGCGAAGACTTGGATACCTATGTGTACGGGATTTCACGCAATCGGAACAGAAATGGCGCGCTGAAAAGCCGGTGTACGAGTACCAGAAACCCTGGGAAGCTACGGATCTTTCGCGTTCCGCTGACAACTAGACCAGCTGCTGATTCACAATTCCGTGCTCTACATGAAGAGCATACCGTTTGGCTTACACTAAAAAGGAATAGGCGACGAGTTATTAAAAGGTATAGGAAGGGCAGAAATAGAAGCGATGTGCGCTTGTGTGTGCAAATGCAGAAGTGAGTGTATTAATGTTAGGCGCGCTAGCACACAATTGTGTGGGCCCTCGCGCAACTGCCTTGCGGACCACACAATATACTAAACCTAAGTTTAAAGCTACCGGCCCATCCTAAGGTATGTGAAACACTCTAACTTAGTCTTTTTGCGAACATAAAAAGTACACACTTCATTACGCAGACATATGCAGTCTTGACCATAAAGGTTAAACACGCACTAACCATCCTTAGTGGGAATTGAACTCACAACTTTCAGTCTAGCATAACAATGCCAAACCCTTGTGTCAGTTACCATAACCTATGATTTAGTGGAAACATTGACATTAGTAGCATAACTAACACTCCCCCATGCTGCGCATGCCAATGCCGATTTTGAACTCGTTGAATTTAACTCGCGACACTGCTTTCGTTAGAGCGTCCGCAACCATGTCGGAGGTCGGCTTGTAAAT